CTAAATTGTTGCTCCTAGATTTACCTGCCTTCCCCTCTTATCCCATTTAGTATTGCCCCTTGAAAGAGAGAGTTCCAGTAGAACTGTCTCACTGGATCATTACCCAAACACTGCCTATGAAGAACAGCTGCCAAGAGAGATGCAAAGCAATAGTTGCTTCCTTAAGTTTCCTGCAATAGCACGCCTGCTCCATGCACCCCATAAAGAGTTTAGAAACAATTTCAAATGCAAGAAAATGGAATTGAAGTACAGGTAGTACTCAAGTTATGACTGGCCACTTAGCGACCATTCAACATTATGACCTACCTGGAAAAAGTAGAAGACCCAGATCCAAAGTTCCAATGATAGTTTCCTCTCCCACTCCCATGATCATGTGATCATATTTTGGGTGCTCAGCAATGTGGCCACATTTACAGTCTTCTGCAGCATCCCATGGTCACGTATCTTACTTGCACACTTACTTCTAATTTTTGGCAAAACTGAGCCTCAGTGAGCAATGGGTCTACTTAACAATTGCTGCAAAAAAGTTGTAAAATTGAATAGATCACAGGGCCAACCTGTTTTACAAACATTATGACTTGCAGTTGTAATGGCAACCTCCTATATGATTGTAATTGGAGGACTCATAACTTTGAGTAGGTCACGATAAACTCTTTATTGATAAAATCTCTTTGATTGCATCATCCATAATTGGCGTAAAATAAATATCGGTAAATTTAAATCACTCTCAACAAGACTTTGATGACATAAATACACCCAATCCCTTTGTATAACAGCATCAAGCAGCTTTGGAAGGAGGCCGACATAACCAGCTATTATATTTCGGCCTTAAGTTCTTGCACCTATTGACATAATCTCTGAATTTAAATCAAAGGCAAAGAACAAAGAGAAATTTTGCATCCTAGATAATAAATTGTGGAAATATTAAGAGGGCATAATAAGTAAACTGCCCAGTAAAATTATGATAGTAGCAACTACCAACAACTAGAGTTTTAGCCTATTATTTCCTAAACCTCAAATGCTCTGGGCCAGTTTTTGGCAATTATTGTTGCGAAAAAGATTTCATAGTCACATGGCGCCAAAACACCAGAGAGAAAGAAGTGAAAGTTAAGACAGCTAAACTATTACTACATTTAATTAAGGAAGTAATTGCAATAAGAAAAACTATATGAAAGGTCAGATGATTCATCTCACAATGCACAGGCATGACTAGCCACAAAAATTGCCAGGAAATTTCAAAAAGCCTGGCACTCTGACAAATCAGCCCTCAATCAACATTAACAATCTATAGAATATGCAAAAGAGATAATCCACCAGCCCAAAAGAGAAAAAGACTCCAGCACCTCTCCACCAGTAATCAGCATCCAGATCAACACAGATTAACTCCAAGGTTAACTTCAGACCAATGATCAAGTAAGCAATACCCCAATCAAGAAACTGCCATCAGTAAACAGCCCAACCAAAGAATCTCTAAAACCGCCCCTCCCACAGAGACAGCGAGACAAGACAGCAGAATATAATCTGACGGCAAACAATGCTCCTTACTAGCACTGATGATGTTACCTATTAGGGTAATGAAACGTTTGGAAGAAAACATGCAAGGTCAGAGAGCACCAAGGATCCCTCACTAAAATTTTATTCGGAGCCCAGTTCAGGAGCCAGTTCAAGGTCGATTTGACTTACTTCAGTTAAATTCCAGTTATTCTATAATTAAACCAGACAGCCCCGCACTCAAGAGAAGGAATAGCTCCTTCCAAGCAAATGATTAGCTAAACCCAATACTCAGCAACCCATCTCCAATATAACTAACATGTTTTAAGACATATCCTACCTCACAGTAGTTCAGTTCATCTTTATAAGAGACAAAAGAATTTTCTTCTTTTACAGGTTAGAAATTAAAAAGTTACAGAAACATAGTATATGTACATAACGCATGAAATAATTTGACTGACAGTGTCATAAATTTCACGCAGTCAGAATAACTGCACAGACAGAATAATTGAAACTAATGAAAGGACACTCACCCCTTCTCAAAAGTTATCAATGTCACTTGAAATGTTTATAGGTAAAGGTAAAGTTTCTCCTTGCACATGTGTGCTAGTCGTTCCCGACTCTAGGGGTTTTTGCTCATCTCTGTTTCAAAGCCGAAGAGTCAGTGCTATATCCAAAGAAGACTCCGTGGTCATGTGGCCAGCATAACTAAACACCGAAGGCATACGGAACGCTGTTACCTTCCCACCAAAAATGGTTCCTATTTTTCTACTTGCATTTTTACATGCTTTCAAACTGCTAGGTTGGCAGAAGCTGGGACAAGTAATGGGAGATCACTCCATTACACAGCACTAGCGATTCAAACTGCCAAACTGTGAGCTTTCTGATCGACAAGCTCAGCATCTTAGCCACTGAGCCACTGCGTCCCTGAAATGTGTATATGCACCTGTAAATAAATCATCCCACTGTTTTATCCACTTCATGGTCTCCTATATACCCCCACATACATATCCTGATCCATGAGATTCACCTTCAGATATCATCAGGTTTTTTTTTCCAAAAGCAACACCACCATTACAGTAGTTGATATTTTAGGGTTGGCATGATGCATGAACTCACTACCTGTTTAACATTATCTGTGAACTAGGATACTTTGGCTAGCCATGATTAAAGTCTTCGCCATGAATCAAAGCTTGCTAAGCTAGCAAACCTTGATGCACCACTCATCTGGAATGCATAACCAAGTTCACCAACTCCCTAGGGATGGGTTTGGATTGCTCAAAGCAAAACACAAAATCAATAAACTCTTAAGCAGCTATCAAAACACATGAAAGATGGTATTCTACTGAGAAAATGGGAAGTTGCAAATAACTAGCAGTAATGTGGATTTTACATATTTAAATTCAATATGAGAAATAAATAATAAACAAACATATTTTGAATTACTTCAGTTTTCGTCTACTAAGTGAAATGGAAGTTGTTTCACTTCCTTTTGCTCATGAGCATTTGTTGTATACAGTTGGAATTTGATCAAAACAATCTTCTGTATTCTAATTAGTGACACAAAGTGGAAGGTAGAGTCTAAATAAGAAATTAACAGGGAAAACCTGTTTTTTAATTGGGCAAGAAAAAAAACCTAGTGGTTGAATTTAAGCTACTATAAAATGCTACTTTAGTTCTGCCCTGCATATTATTATCATAGCTTTCAAATGGTAGAAAGTGTCATTTTTCAGAATGCAAATTGTACTATGATTTAAAATATTACATTTGTCTTGGCAGGAATCTTTTTAAAGCTAAAACAGGTGTCTAATATGAGATACTGTACCCACTAGTGACATGTATATATGTATGTACATTTCATAGGCAACTTTTACCAGTCCTTATAGGAAGCTCTGTGAGGCAGACCAATGTTAAATCCATATGGTGCAGTGTTTCAGATTTTGGAGGGGAAGGAGTTAACCCCAATTTTCACATAGTGACCTAACTGTGTTCCTGGCGTCTAATTGTTTGGCTTGTCAGAATAAACATTTAGTTTGGTAGAAGGTCATGAATTAATTAATGCAGACTAGAAAGCAGGAAGTTGTCCTGTTTCTACTGAATGTAGTTACTGCATTGTAGTTGAATGTTAAGCTAGAATAAGACCAAAACAGTATCTCTGTCATTCATAAAGACAAATTGTCTTGGTTCACATACTGCTGAAGCCAAAATATGATTTGTTTGGTTTGGTTTTAATGGGTTATGAAGAGTCAGCCAACTGTGATTTATTTAATAAACTATTGTTATACAAGCCATAGCTCAAAAACATGTGAGGCCAGTTATATATTCCCTCTCTTTACATCTCTCTGAATACAGAGAGAGAACTTGGCAAATCCTAACAAGCTAAACAAGTTGGGATTATGTGAGCAGACAGATGAGAACACCCGGAAATTCTAGATTTGCAGTCCTAATTCAAATATGCACAAAGAAGATAGTAGCAAATGTGTCCCATATTGCTACCATCTGAACTCAATACAAAGCAGTCTTAATTTTTTTCCTCTAAAAATACGCACTAAAACACACAGAATCTTATCAAGAGATCATATAAAAGTCACAAAAATAAACATTAGAGCTAAAAAAACAAACCACCTTTACATTTACCCCATAGCCTTTTTTCAATCAGGTTGCAAGAAGTGAGCAATACTCAATACCTGTGAGATTCCAGTAGGAAGCAAGGCTACCACGTAACTGCTAAAAGGAGAAAGGTATGTCCATCATCAAGAGCTGAAGTGGTGCAGTGGTTAGAGTGCAGTACTGCAGGCTACTTCAGCTGACTGATAGCTGCAGTTCAGCAGTTCAAATCTCACCAGGCTCAAGGCTGACCCAGCCTTCCATCCTTCCGAGGTGAGTAAAATGAGGACCCAGATGGTTGGGGGCAATAAGCTGACTCTGTAAACCGCTTAGAGAGGGCTGTCTCTAAACATTGCATGGTTATGCAATCATAGAGCAGCTTNGTGGGTGTGGCCTGTGTGTGACACATCCGTCCTGCGGGCCACCAGTTTGACACCCCTGCTGTAGATTAGTATTTCTCAATCTTAGCAACTTTTAAGATTTCAAATCCCAGAATCCCACAGCTGTGCATTTTAAAGCTGCCAAATTTGAGAAACACTTCTGGAAACCAGTAGTTCTCAAAATGTGGGGGATACCTGGGAGACCCCCAAGACCCTTTCAGAGGTCTATGATCTCAAATAAATGTTTTTAACATTTCCCAGTTTTGATTTCTAAAGTATTAAGTATTGATAGATAAAACCATATAAAACTCTTTGGGGTCCTCAATTATTTTTATAATTGAATGTAAAGGGGCGCCAAGACAAAATGTTTGAGAATGGTTGCTGCTGTAGGCCTAACCTCACAACAGCAACAGGGGGACCCTCGTGCTTCTCTTCTCAAGACACAAAATTGGTTTGTCTCAGTTGTAATCTCAGTTGCTCAAACTCGGCTCATATCATGAGACGGACAGCAAATAAATTTAAAAGCCAGTATGACAAAATGTTCATTATAGTTTGGAAGAGAGGGTGCATAAATAGATAGAATGTAGAGGTTTGCAGAATTTATCTGGGTTTGGTTCCCTTTGGAAGAAAACCACAATACACCTAGTTTAGGTTCTGAAACAGCAGTGATTATTTACTGTGACATACACCTCTATAGCCCTCTATGTTGTTTGCATTTCAACTTCTATCAACACTGCCTGTTTCCTTAGAGATAAAGTAAGATGAAAGCTGTAATCTAAAACTTTATGATAGCAGCTGCCTGTCCATCCCCTGCAATATCCCAGGGAATTCGGTAACATACCACATCTTACTTTTGTTCCAATTAGAATCAGTAATTCTTTCAACAGGGATGAGGTTGGTTTAGTTACACGTAACCTCTTCCCAAAACTTTGCAGTCTTCAGAGAAATTAGGACTACAACTCCAAGTATTATCAGTGCTAGATGATGAAATGTCTACAAGAAAACAGCCAAGCTCAAAGAACACTAAAGAGCCCTCATTCTGCAAATACTCTGAAATTCGACATTGTTTTCAAGTAGAGAAAGGAAAAAAAAAACAAATCTGCAGGATCATCTTGAACTGAACGTGCTGGAATTTGTTTGGAATCCAGTATGTAATAATTGGATCCCCTAGTTTTGTCTCTAATTTTGTAGCTGGTCACTTGGCAACATGGTCTTAAAAGTAATTCCCGCTAAAAACTTTTCCATTTTAGAGCTGTACGGCTATTTTTTTAGTTGGGGTATTTTGAAGCCATATAGAACAGTTGAAGCCTGTTCTATATGTCCAAGGCGGTATATCTAGAACTCTCTATTTTGCTTCATTTTTTTTCCTAGAGCAGGATAAAAGGAAGGTCTATGAAGATGGACTAGAATTCCAAGGTGAGGAGATTAGTATATCTAAGGAGCTTTTTCTAAACCCACAGCTTTCTCTTCTGGCATTATGAAAGCTGCTACACCATACAAACAGAGTAAGAGAGTCTAATATTGGACTTCAGGCCAGCATGTCAGGCCTCAAAACCACTTCAAAAGTTGCCACTGGTTTAATTATTACTGTGACAGGAGGGAAGGTTATTAAACATATGAAAGGTGGAAGGAAAGAGAAGAAGAGGATGAGCAGCAAGAAGGTGGATGGACTCAGTTAAGTGACGAGGAGTGCACCTTTTGGGAGACCTGGAAGAACAGGTTATGGAGAAGATCTATGTGGAGTCAAAAATGACTTGATGGCACATTATCAGTTAATCAAATTATTGGCGATGTTTAATTTAGGGTTCAATATAAATTAAGTCAAATTTAGTCTTCATTCTGGCCTGCCTACACTACTCAGTGGCTAAGTGTGGCTATTGGTCTGACAAGGGTGGTTTGTCCCTGCAAAGTGCATGAAGTAGATTTAGATATTGGGAAGAATTTCCTGGAAGCCCTTAGACAGAAGCTAAGTAGGCATCTGCCCAAAATATTTTGGCAGATCTTGCCCTGGGCAGGATCTTGGACTAGATGTTCTCTGCAGTGTTTTTCAACTCTAGGATTTTATGCTTTTAACTTCCATGAAACTACACATGCCAACATTAAAAGCAACAGTAGGAATTGGGTCTTCTACCCCTGAACTATTGAACTATTCCCATCAGTGCCAATCAGCATGACCCACTCAGATTACAATTTGGGAATCCCAAATGTCTGATTTAATCTTTCTATCTTATTAGATGCAGCTCAAACTTTTCTTTAAAAGAAGCCCACAACTTTTCTACTTTGCAGCTTGATCCGTTCCACCATCTGATGTAAGGGTTTTAAATCATAGGAGCGCTGAGTGCTTCATACACTAAAATAAGGCTAAAAAGAGGCCTTCTTCCAATAATTAGTCCCAAAGGATCTCATCACTCACCTTAAGGAAGGAGCTGCTAAAATGCACCCCGCAGGCTTTGCAACTCTGCTCTGAAGCTGTGGGAGATGGGAAGGAGCTGTAGCCAGCATTGGAGTATGCTCGAGTTCCTGGCTGCGGGCAATGTGGCATGTCTTCAGGCTGTCCATTCAGGCAAAACCAGTTGCAACATGCAGCCCACATGATAGCTGTGAATTTTTCAAACAAAAAGTCAGTCAACAGAAGGAAAGAGGCTGGTTTTCTTGGCTTGAAGAAGACCTTAGAAAGCAAGAATCTAGACAACCAAGGCATAGATTTTTTTTTCCTGGGATTTAAAGAGACTAATTCTCCTTTTACAGAGGTGATTCATTTCACAGCATAACAAAATGGGTCAGACTCATTAGGAACAGAGAAGTATTACACCTCCTTATTATCATACAGACATACAGATACACACACAAGGGATCTAAAGCTCAGCTGTTCACAAGTAAGCTATGCTGGATCACTCTCTATACTTCTGTTGTTGTTAGTTGTGAAGTCGTGTCCAACCCATCGCGACCCCATGGACAACATTCCTCCAGGCCTTCCTGTCCTCTACCATCCTCTGGAGTCCATTTAACGGCTACTGCTTCGGTGGCTCCATCCAGCCACCTCAATCTCTGTTATCCCATTCTTCTTTTGCCCTCAATCCTTCCCAGAATTAGGCTCTTCTCCAGGGGGTCCTTCTTCCATCT